ATACATACATACATATATATATATATATAATAGTTGGGGTGTCCGCGAGTTGCATGTGACATATGAATTGATTTATAAACGAAACATGGGTCCTTATTTAGATTGTTTTATCAGATAATCTTGTATTAATGTATTAATGTGAGTTTCTATGTATAGTGATTTTGTACTTAGTTTACAATGTTGTAATTGTAGTTTATTTTGCTGGCATAATTACTCTAAGGTAGAAATAAGTTAAAATATGGGTTTGTTTGGGGATGGGTTGTCCATTCAAAGCTAAAATAGTTAATAAAACAAAACATCCCATCACATTACTTTCTCTATTTTTTTTTTTTTTGGCATATCTTTTCGTAAAAAATCAAATAGTCAACTAAAATAGCCTATTCTCAAACAAATTGGTGATTATTTATGGATCTCTAATTCTTTAGAAGTGAAGTTAATCTTTATTTATTATTATTATCATTTTTGATAATGTTAAGTGCAAAAAAAAAAAAAAATAGAATATAAAACATATAAAGAAAATATCTTGGGTAGTTAAAACTGATTTTGAGTGTGATGTAAGTTAGACTTAAAATAAATTTCATCAACACTTTTATGTGTTTAATTTTTGTGAGTCTAACATTATTATTCCTACTATCTAAAAAAAAAACAATATTATTCCTTTCCTTTTAAATAATCTAGTGAAAAATTTATTGCATACAAAAAATTAATACATTTTAGTATTTTGTTATATTCAATGATTTTTAATTTTTTTTTGTACAAATTATATATTTTTTAACTGTATATATATTAAGTCGATCTAAAATTAAAAAGTCAAAAAATTAATTTTGAAAATTTTAAATCATAGAGAGTGAAAAATTTGTTGACATAACCTTTTAAATTACTAAAAATAAAAAATAAAAAATAAAAAATCAATTTATAACTTGTGTACAAAAGGAGTATAAAATAGAGAATAACTTTTCTCTAGCCCAATCGGATTGAGCATGTTGTTGGGCTATGTGGGCCCACTATAAAACCCACATTGATAATCCGAACTGTTCAATGTATCGTACTTGTCGAGTACTTTATTCTTGCAATAAATAACGTTGATCGGATATCGATAGCCATTTGATCAGATCAAATTTGTGTCAATGTTACTATGATTTTAAAAATAAATTGTTAATATAAATGTGATCTGATTAAGTGGCTGTCGATATTTGATCAACGTGATTTTCTATAGGGATAAAGTACTCGATTCAGTCCTACGCATTGAATGGTGATAGAGTACTTTAGGATCTAATTCGATAATTTAAAACGTTCACATTTTAAAAGTTATCAAGTAAAATATACCAGTAAAATATTATGTCAATCGGATATCGTTGGCCCTTTTATCAAATCACATTTGTATTTAAAAAAAATGTAATTTAAAATATAAAACTCAATGCAAATGTGATTTGATGAAAGAAATAACGATATCTGATCGACATGATTTTTTATAGATATATTCTACTCGATAACTTCCAAAAAGTCTACATCCATGCTTCTTGAGAAAGTCAATTTTTCTTGCTATTATTTATTTATTTATTTTTTAATGATGAAACAACGGCTTACATAGGCCTACTCAAAATGCTTCCATTCTATATGGTAGTAGTAGAGTTTATGGTTTGTGGAAGGAAGATCAGCTGCAAGGTGAAGAATTGAATATCCTTATTAGAGTTAACTCTACATGGCCACAATTCCAATTTTGACGGTACCAACTACAAGTTTTGGAGTGTGAAAATGAGAACTCTATTTTTATCTATGGATTTGTGGGATACGGTACAGAATCGATACAACGATGAGACCAACAAGGAGAAGCAACAGAAAGATACTGCAGCTCTTTCTCACATCCAAAAAGGCATCTCAGATTGAATCTTTCCAAGAATCAGGGATGCTACAAAAGCCAAACAAGCTTGGGACATTCTCTCTGTCCAATTTAATACTGAGGTCAGAACCAACGGGTTAAACTTCATTTACAATCATTTTTATTTTTTAATTTTTGGGTTAAATTCATTTTAGCTCATCAAAATTTCAGGCTAAACTTCTTTACCCATTATGGCTAAAAAATAATCAGAGAGGCCCATGTGATTTTGGAACAAGTCCATGATGGTTGTGCTCGCTAGCCTTTCAATTTGTATAGATCTTCTGGTTAGAAATGATGATATACTTTTATTTCCATAACTAAGATGCATCGTCTCATCTCCACAAGATATATCGAGGATGGACTTGATGTCTTCTGTTGTTAGCTTTATAGTTTCTGGTCCTAACTGGAAAGAACCACTGCTGCCTGGTTGGTATGTCTGAATTAATTTGAATGCAATATCATCATATTTTCTGCATTGTTTATAATTCAACTTGTTCTTCAATATTGCGTCAAACAATAACCAAAGTGGGGTTCTCTTTAACCCTTAATATGCTCGTTCCTGAGTTTGATGTGCTGTAATAGCTTCACTATTGTCATCATGTTTGATCTGAAAGTTACTTTCCATTCTCTACGCTTTCTCTTTTTCTTTTTCTCTATCGAAGTTGATTTTTTACGCTTGCTTATTGTTTTCTTTGCATTGCTTTTTAGTCTTGGCGTTTTTAGGAGTTGCTTTCCTGTGCGAAAAATCAACATGGACGACATATTAACACTGAGAATGTGTCCTAAAAGAATCAGTCCAATGTCATTCTCATGAAGTCTAAATTTGATAACATTCATGGCTATAAAAACAAAATCAACATTGAAACCGAAATCGAAAGCAAGAGAATATTATTAACTAGAGATTTTGACTCAAATTCATTCAGAATCTGAGAACATTCACATAAATTGTATCAAAATAAACAATGAAACCTAAATCAAAAGGAAGAGAACATGAATAACTAGAGTTTTTCAGTCAAATTGATTGAAAACTTGAGAACATTCACAACAATCATGTCAAACTCAATATTGAAACCTAAATTGAAATCATGAGAATATGATCAAGTTTGGGTTTTCACTCAAATTGACTAAGAATCTAAGAACATTAACAGCAATCGTAAGAATATCAACATTGAAACCCAAATTGAAACCAAGAGAATATGATTCATTAAGGTTTTTTACTCAAATTGTCTAAGAATCTGAAAACATTCACAGGAATCGTACCAAAATCAACATTGAAAGCTAAATTGAAACCAAGAGAATATGATAACTAATGTTTTTCACTCAAATTGTTTGAAAATATGAGAACATCAACAGCAATGGTAACACACTCAACATTGAAACCTAAATTAAAAGCAATAAAATATGATTAACTAGGGGTTTTCACTCAAATTGACTAACAATGTGAGAACATTAATAGCAATGGTACCAAAATCAACATTGAAACCTAAATTGAAAGCCAGAGAATATGATTAACTAGGGTTTTTCACCCAAATTCATTAAGAATCTACGAACATT